GTATGAATTTGGAATATTTTACATAGCTGCCTAAATATGGATTTAGGAGCCTAATTTTCAGCACCCAGGCTTGAAAATTTTCACTCTAGTTAAGGGTATTAATTCAGAGACAGCATTCCTAGCTGTTCAGGGTGCTTTCACAGTCAGATCAAAGGACTTTGGCCCCAATCCAATGCTTGCTGAAGTCAGTGGGAGTCACTGGATTGCACCTATACAGTCTTAGATGAAAGTGGTCCAGTACAGGTTTAAGTAATTATATTCTTTCACTTTGCCTATATAAAAAAAACTGCTCGGTTAACTTGTACAACTCTGAGTCTGTGCTGTGGATTATATCTTGACTTTCCACAAACCAGCAAAAGGGCAACCTATATACTGAGAACATACAACTTCAAAGGTTCTAATTAATTAAGTTTTAGGATGTCAATATAATGTAGGTTTCAGAGTAGCAGATAATGTAGTACTCTAACTTTTTCTTCAGAGGGTTGAAAGCAATACTACAGGTTCGTAATAAAAACAAAAACAAATCACATGTCATAAGGCTTATGAAATTCAATGCATGTGCACCATAGATCAGATTAAGATATATGTGCAATCAAAGGTTAATGCCAGTCAACTTTTATGGCACATGCTTGCTTCTTAATCAAAAAGTAGGAAGTATTTGTCCTGCTCGACACAGCACTGGTGATCACAAAATGGGTGCGCTAAGCATTTTGGATGGGTGCTTATTTTTATGAAAGGAATATAAATCAAAGTAGCAAAAGAAACCAGATCAGCTGTATTCTCTTGTGTCTATAGCACCAGCAAGTTCTCGTCTAATCATAAAGACAGGATTTTGCAGGGTGCCTCCAAGAACATTTTCACTCTTTATCCCAGAACGATAAGGCTTCCACTGATCATAACATTCGTGTGTTAAAGAAAAATTGGTTAATAGTCATATTTAAAAAATGAAATGAGTTGAACTCTAATAGACTTTAAAGACAATGAAAAGTCCTATGTGACAGACAATAATGAAGAGTAAAGTTTTATATGAATTGTAATATATAGTACAATAGAGAGATATATTCTGCAGAGTCTTCTCCTTGGCCTGTTGTCCATTTTCTATATTTTTGAAATTAATTATCAAAAATGCAATTGTTGTATGATGTAAAATATGGCAAAGTATATTAAAATGTCACAATTGAATCAAAATATATATAAATATTCTGCTTTTAGGTTTGAAGATGGCAAGGAACAAGTAGATTATAAGAAGTTTGTCAATGGGCTGAATTGGAGAGAGAATCCAGTTCCGACTTTCCAGACAATAAAGGTTCCTATAAAGGTAAAGTTAAGACGTTTAAAACAAAAAAGCAGTGCACAAAACCTGAAAGCCCCTTTCATGCTGCCGCTGATGTCGTTCAGTCAAAACATATTAACATCATTGATTTATCCAACAAAGAATATCTGGGACTCAATCTTTATGGATCTTGTCTGGGTTTTTCGAGCAGTTTGTTTCTGTTGTGAAGGATTGGGCGAAGCAGAGAACCAGTGTAAGGCACGGGAACTCTGTAACTCTGTTGTGCACAGTGGATGCCACATCTCTAATGGATTTCTAGGGAAATATAGGAAGGAAAAGGGCTGTGCTGTCCTGTGAACAAAGGCATGACTATCAGGTGCTCACCCTTTCTATTACACAAATCTTATGTTCAGAAGTCACAATTATCAGGAAAGTCTACAAACTCCACTGACACTGCAAAATGTACCTACAATTTTCTATAACTCGGTGGAAACTCGCACAGAATACACCACTTCCTTGGTAGGTAGTAGGAGTAGCACGGAGAAATCAACTAATATGTCTCTGTCAGCCTAGTACTTAGAGTAAGTAAAAATGTCATTTCGGGAAACGGCAAAGATTAAGCTGACCTGGCTGTCCTGTGCTGGTGTGAGAATAGAATGGTTTAAAATAGCATTGTGCATAATCCAATCAAATTGATTTTTTAAAAATGTCATAGCAAAGAAATCCAAAGCATCTTAGCGCGCATATAACATCGCTCTTCTGATCCAGCCCTTGACTGCTGATATTGAATGTGTTTCATTTAGTCTCCTCTGCTTCTACTGGTTTAGAAGCATAGGGTTCAGTGCATTTTAAATTCAGCAGCTGCATATTTTCACCAGTTATATGCAAGTGCTGTGTTTTCATCCTGACAGCATAGTGGCATCACTACTTGCTCACTGTTCTGGAGCCTATAAAACTGTCTATAGGGGCTAGTGAGGGCACAGTGCTGCTGAGTTGCTAAGCTTTCCTTGGTGTCATTTTCTTGGACTCCTTAATTAGGAAAAAATTTCTTGTATGCATATAATTAAGATCCTGTACATATTTTTACAACATCCACCTTATACTGGATGTGTTTCAGATTTAAAAAGTGTGTGCTCCATGTTTCGATGAGGGCACTTTTCGAACAGGGAGTTCGGAATTCTACTCAAAGATATTATTCAATGATTATGTTGTGATAGCATCCAGTGATGCTTGTCAGGATTAGGGCACTGTTGTACTAGGTGCTGTGCAAACAGAGGTAGATGCAGTTTCCGACCCAAAGCACTTACAAAACTAAGAGGATGAGCACCATATGAAGGGGTGGTGATAAAAGAGGCAGAAAAATATACAAATATGTTGGCTTGTTATTTATTTCATATTTTTCTCCTAGCTGTATTGGCTGCTTGCCCAACTGCCTCAGACTAGCCATAGAGGACTGACTTATTTCTTGTAGGTGGTATGCCTGATGTGAACCTTGAATAGGGGGTGGAGGACCTGAGTGGTAGTGAGGAGAGGCAGTGTGTTCAGTTTGTAGTCGTAATAAGCCAATCAGTGGCTGTGATCACAGCTTGCCAATTTGCCTCACTGTTATCAGATGACAGTGTTTTGTAGGCATTATGGCAGAGGTGATTTGAGGGAGGATTGGTTTTATGGATTTTGGCAGGGATTTTTTCCACTGTACATGGGACAGCAAGGGAGAAAAGACAAAGCCATTTGTGAACCAAGAAGTCAGTCAGGGTTGGCATCTTTAGTGGAACAAAGGCTGTGATCAATATAATAAAATATCAGGGATAATTTGGGCAGGGTTACACTGTAAAGGTCAGGAAAAGACATTTGTGTTTGCACTGGAGCCAGTGGAGGGGCTTGCAGAAAGTGAGCTGACAGAGCTACAGGCTAGGAAGACCATCTTAGTGGCAGCACAGTGAACGGACTTGAGCGGAGCAAGGTTGCAGACAAGGTCAAAAAGATGGAAGTTGTTGGTTGTATTCTCATTTTATTATTTGCAGTACCATAGTGCCTTAGAGTCTCAGTCCTGGACCAGGACCCCATTGTGCTAAGCACTTTGCAAACACAGAACAAAAAAACCCAACAACAATCCCTGCCCCAAGCCACAGAGGTGTATTCAGTTATCTGCTAGATAGGAGAATCACTTCTGTATTAATTGTGTAAAAAAAAAAGGGCTGTAAATTACATAATATACTGAGATATACTGAACTATAGTACATTAACAAACAAGTTAGTAAATTATGTCCAAATTGGCTGTGGTGGCATTATTTATTCAATTTATTATTTTGTTGGTTAGCTGTAATATATAATAATGAATTTATTTTAGATGAGTACATTTTAATGAAAAGATGAGTAACAAAAGAAGAAAGAGAAGATACCAAAGGGAATGTAAATCCTTTTCTTGATTCTTTGACTTTCTCAGCTGAATCTTTATCCGAGCTGTGATTTAATATGCACTGCAGTAATTTTGTCTAGGTGTAAAATGATTATATTTGACAAACAAAAATTTCAGTTTGTATTCTTACTCAGTGATTTAGTCCTGAAGTTTTGATCTTCTAACTTCCCTTTCTTCTTCGTTTTGTCTACTAGTTTGAAAGCTGACAATTCCTACGGTGTCTTGTTCTCTTAGCTGACCTACATATCTTTTGAAGTATAGGTGTCTAACTGAACAAAACAGTACACTAGTCTTTAATTTTTTTAAAAAATTGGACAGAAGTGGAGATGGAGGGATATTTTTAATTAAAACTTCAGCAGCACTGATCAAAATCGATAATACCATATTCTTTAGGAAGATATGCTTTACAAATTTGTTTTTTTTCCACAGGTGATTTGCATGTAGAAATGAAATAACTTGCTTAACATTATTTTGTGACATTTCTAGTTATTTTTGTTTTCAAAATGGAGTTCTAAGTTTGTCCTCTTGTTTATCACTTTCAGTATGAAGATGACTGGAGTGGGCAGCCACCATCCCTTCCAGTGAAAAGGATCAAATATTTACCCCTTATACAGGATGTTTTTGGCATTGAAGAATAATCTGGTCTATGCAGGTCACTTCTTTTGAATTACTGTTGCAACTTCACCAAGCGTATCTGGACAGATACTGTAAACTTTCCTTAAAAAATAAAAGAATCACAGATGTAGATTTTATTGAATGTAAATGTCTTACTCCAATGTAGAAATATAGTTCATGTAGTTTTGTAATTCTTTCAAAATACAAAGTACTGTACTGTAAGTACATGAGCACAAATAAAAATATCCTTTAAACTGATCTTCATGTTTGGTTATATGTAGAATGCACAAATATTCAGAAGTCTTACAGTGAGAATCAAATATAGCAAAGTGTGACTGACCCTAAACCATTCTCATCTGCAAACAAACAAAAATTATCATTGACGACATTAAGTCAGACTATATCGGCACAATAATTTAATATTCTCTTCCATTTTTTTTTCATGCTGCTTAGTTTTATGTTGATGTATCCCTGCTAAATCTAAAGTGTTGTTTATGTCAAAGCCAGTTAGTTTATGAAGGGGTTCTAGCAAAGCATAACATTTCCTGGTATCAGAGATAATTGCAGCCTACCCAATATAGAAGTAAATATCTTGCAAGTGTAACACAGAAACTCTAAGCTCTTGATTTTTGCTTTACATACAACCTAAATCGATCGATGTCAAAACTTATTTGGGGAATCTGTGTGAAATGAATTGGTGGTTTTATTCCAGTCTTAGTGAACGGGTGTCCTCAGTGTAAAACAGCAATTTCTCATCTGAAACGAATTGATACCCTGCTCATTGGTCAAGATTGTGATGATTAAGTGGAGTTCCTGTCAGTACTTTGCACGTATATAGCACTGTACGAGTTCAAAGCCATGTTTAGACATGACTTCCTTCATTATCACTGCAACCCTGTGAGCTGGTAAGTATTATTTCAGTTTAAGAAGGGTGGGGAAGCTGAGGCAGAGACGTGGAGGGACTTGCCTGAGGCAATAGTGAGTCAGTAGAAGAACCGGGATTAGAACTCAGGAGGTCTGACTCTCAGCTCTGCACTAGTATTTTCTGGTTACTTTTGTGAAATTATCAAATTCTTTGACTGAGGATCACAGGTTTTTATCTCAAATTGCAATTCAAGGAGAAGGACAAGTGCTTAATTTAGAAAGACAAATACTTAGCTTATCTTATGATTCTGTATTATAAACAAGTTTAATAGATTATTTAAATCTGATTTGTTTTGTGGTCATACATTTAAAACATAGATTAGACTCCATAATGTCATCGATTCCAAGGCCAAAAGGGGCCATTGTGATCATCCAGTCCAATGTCCTACAGGCCACAGAGCTTCCCAGAATTAATTCCTGTTTGAACTAAAGCATATTTTACAGAAAAAACATCTCATTTTGATTTAAATATTGCCAGTGATGGAAAATCCACCACACCTCTTAGTAAGTTGTTCCAAAAGTTAATTACCCTGATCATTAAAAATGTGTGCCTTATTTCCAGTCTGAATTTGTCTAACTTCAGTGTCCAGGGACTGGATCTTGTTATACCTTTATCTGATAGATTGAGGAGCCCTCTATTACCACATTTTTGTTCCCTGGATAGGTACTTATAAATTGTGATCAAGTCACTCCTTAAGCTATTTTAGACTTGAAAATGCCTTCTCACATGTCTGACATGATCTCTGTGTAGATAAGTAACAAGACTTGTTTTTCTTGGAAAGAAAGTTTGAGAACTACCATCTTTCTGTCTTTTGACTATTTTGTAATGCTGTTCTGTGTATTTTTAGTAATACTCACTGAATTTCCCCTCCCCCACTTCTGTCTGTGCCTTCTTTTCTTTCTCATGGCCTAGGCAACATGGATAGCCACAGAAAAATCTACTAGGAATGGTGCATAGCGGGTTCATGTAAGGATTTTCATTTCTTGCCACCATGTTCACAATGCGCCTGGCAAAGTTGTGTGGAACTACATAGTACAAATAATTTTCACCAGATCTTCTGTTCACAAGTGGCAATGAAGAGGCCCCAGCCAATCATCAGCCAGCCTTATTGTTTGTATAATGTAACATAAAGCATACAACCCCCCTGACTATTTCAACCCCTTAATCCTGCCACCAGCTTCCTCTCTCTCTTCACATTGCTAATGAGATGCCTGAATGAAGACCATATCATAAGATTATATTTCCAGATGGCATAAGGCCACAACTTTAAAGCACTTATCTCATAAAGTGGGAGGCAGTCCTTGCCATTGATCTTAACGAACAGTCTCTGGAGAAGAGCCTCCCTCATATCCTAAATATAACTTTTGTCCACAGACATCCCAGCTTTACATGACAGTAGCTGAGATGCACACTGAGGTACTGCCTCACCCCACTATGCTGACTGGATTTTGTAAAGTACCCAATGTTGACTTACTAGCTCAACCCAGTACCTGAGAATGTGTCAGGGGCCATAGTGGGGCAGCATCAGAAGCCAAGACAGGGTTAGAGTCAGGAGCCAAACCAAGGGTCAGGGCCAAGGTGGAGTCGGTAGCCATGCCAAGGATTAAGCCAGAATCAGAATCAGAATTCACACCAAGGGTCAGGCCAGAGTCAGTCACTGGAATTAAGGTGAGGAAGCAGGAGCAAGGAGCAGAACCAGCTGAGGAGGCAGGAACTAGGACCAAGGTATGGTAACAGGGACAAGGGTCAGGAACTTGGAATCTGGTCAGCAGCAGACCTGGCAACTAGTTGCTGAGACAAAAGGTCAGACAGGAACGGGAAACTTTATGCTTGGTGGTGTCCAATCAGCAGTCTGCTGCTAGTCTCCTGACCCAGCTGAGTCAGTGAGAGTAGTCTGTGGTGGTGAGGCATTAGCTGCACTTCCCTCATGTAAGCTTGTGGCACAGAGACAGGCTTTTGCTTGGCACGTCTCCCTTTGCCCCCTCCCTGCCCCGGCCTGGGTTCAAGAGCCGCGGTACCTGACAGAATGGGAATTCTACATATTCCTCAAAAAAGCTGCTTCAGCCAAATAACTTGTCATATGAGAGCAAGGGCTACCTGCCACCAGGTGCAGCTAATGCATTGCTAAGCTGCTGTCTCCACAACGTCTTCAATCCATATCTGTATGTCTGCACTAAAGATGTCTGTACATCAGACGCAGGCACCCATAAACAGTGTCGTCATGAACCAGCATCAACATACCATGAACATGAGTAATGTTCCTCATCTTATAATATTTTTCCATGCCCTGCTCAGTATACCAGCTCTCCTGGACAGCAGTGCCAACTGTATCACCCTCACGTACATCCAGATAAGTGCCAATGACTGCCTGTGCAATTCACTCTCCTTCATGCTACCACATCATTTTTGCCCAGATGAGTGAAGATAGCGTTGAGCTCACTCTTCTTCATTATTACATCAGGTGTCAATAGAAGGAGCTGATTCCATCTCATGCCAAGGAGGGCCTCCCCCGCACCAAAACAAACTGATAGACCCTTTCTTTGGTCTGTCTTTTAGCTCAATAGGCAATTGAGTATCCCCAGGTACAAACTTCCCATGGTGGATCTACAAAGATCTTAATACCATGATGTCTGAAGCTTCAGAAGATTTAGTCACTCAACTATAATAGGAGAGAAATGTCCCTCTTTCAGCAATAGCAACTTGCCAGCTTATTTCTGGTTAAACACCATCAGATGCTCCCACGGTTCCTGATAAGGAATTACAGAGCCATTAGAATAACTTTTCTCATCTGGTTGATCCAGCAGTCGGGAGAATAAAACTAGTATCTTGACGGGAAGGAAGAAAGAGGAAGACATTTCATCCAGGTATAGCATATTAAGGTTATATGTTATATAGGCTGTTACTGTATACAGCTGGATGGTCTGAAACATCTGGCAGTTTTTGTTTGGTTTTGGAATGTGTTATCAATAAATAAATTGGCTGTCCTCAACTGCCCTTCAGCTGAGCCATCTGTCCGCTTCCTCTCCCCCTTCTTTAGCTAATAGTTTTACACTGAGAATTAGCTTTAGTAAAAATTGGAGAAGCCAGTTCAGAGTCAGCCGCTTCTCAGGCCCATGGTGTAAGCCAATGGTTAGCAACTTGGTAGAAATACCCTTTCACAGTACAAGTTCATAGTGTTAACTACGGTAGTTTAGAAAATTTCCTCATTGAAAGGGAAAACTGTTAGAAGAATGACGTTGTCTTGAAGGTTCAGTGGTACAAACTTTCCACTTGCATGGATTAGTGGAAACTCAGGGCTCTCAGTTTGGTCACCATGATCCATAAGCTCACTGAAGTCAATAGAAATACACCCATTGTCTTCAGTGAGCTTTGAATCAGTTTCCAGCTGTAGTATCCATAGATAAAATTCTTGCTCTAGTGAAGTCAACAGCAAAGCTCAGATTGACTTCAGTGGAGTCGGGTTTTCTCCTTAACTGTGTTGTGCTTCTAGATCCCAGTTCATCAGAGCATTTAAGTGTGACCTTAAGCCCATCACTATTTACCAAAGCAATTTAAGCATGTTTTAAAAATCTCATTGAACGCAGTGTAGCAGACACACATGCTTAAATGCTTTGTTGAACTGGGATGGGCTGCTGAATCGAGGCCCTGATGAATTTAGGCACTGTAATAAAAATACATTATATTAGAAGATAGGATAGAAAGGAGGTATTATAGAAGTGTGTGCGTGCCTGTGTGTGTGTTTGTGTCTGCACTCATGTGCATGTGTTATATGTCATAAGTTATTACTGTATTTTTTTCATAGTATAAGCCAACAATTAGCAATTAAATTCCCATTATGGGATCATGTTGGTAATTGTGATAAATTGAAACTATGTAACTGCTTTAAACTGTTCTCTCAACTAACCCAAATACTGTAATACTTCTATAATTTAGAGATAATATCCCCATTAGTACTGTTTATGACTCAATAAACAGCTCCCAAAAGTTAATAAATGCCAAAGCTGTAAACACCAAGACTATTAATGCAGTAGAATTTCTGTGCCTCCCTCTTTTGTTGGTGGTCTAGATACAGCAAAGGAAATGCTATCTCAGGAAAAACATTTATTCTGGCTATATAAATATAAATGAATTGTCTTAAAACCCATCTGGAAAGCTCCCATCCTCCCTATGTCCCAGGTGGTCTGGCAACAGTGATGAATTCTGAATTTGTCTGCAGGCAATAGGAAAACCTTCCTTTTTAAATAAAAGAAAGAGGCTTAGTTTTAAAAGCTCTGATGACGTCTTCACCTTGTCTTTCCCCTCTGTGGAAAGTGGGAACAAAAATCCCCTCCAC